CCGCCACCTTGGGTGTACATGGCTGGCGCCTTAGCCACTTGAGCCACAGGCGCCGAGCCCAAAGCCACTTTCAACTATAATAACTACACAAAGAGTGAATCAAGGACTTGGGTAGAGAATCTTTGTATTTATATCTGAAAATTTCCAATGACTAGCAGTATCATCAGAATAATATATTTAAAAATAACTTCCTATCAACATAACAGATTCTCCTTTCAGACATTTTGTCAGTTGTATGTATATTCAATAAGAGCTGAAACAGAAATTGACAGGCACTTCATAATTAACTATATTTAATATCTCAGCATTTTGTTAGAATGGAATAATTTCTTTAAAATACATGTTGTATGTGATAACACATGGACAAGAAAAAATATATATAATAGAATTGTATCAAAGTTAGAATAATTTTACACTATTTCCATAGAAATGTAGATTGAAATTGAGGGAAAATTTTGGTAAACTATGTTATGTTAATGCAATAAAAATTCAGAAGATAGCTTCCTAATACGACATGTACAGAATGGCAATTTTAAAAAAATCAAAGAGAAACAAACTACTTATTCATAAGGGATATCTTGTTGTGCTTCTTTTCTTTCTTTTTTTTTTTTTTTTTTTCAGTTTTTGGCCAGAGTCAGGTTTGAACCCGTCACCTCTGGTATATGGGGCTAGTGCCATACTCCTTTAAGCCACAGGTGCCACCCTCTTTTCTTAAACATTTCATATTAAACTTCATGAAAAAAAAATTTATACTTTATGGTTTCCATAAAATTAACAATTAACAATTACCCGTGTCAGAAAAGTATTATCAGTATGGCAATCACCATGAAATTTACCAGCCAAGACTTTTTTCAACTACTCTATAATATAAATACAATCATATTCTTAAATTCAAAAAAATGGCTCTGATATCTATTTAAATGTTTAAGTGCTTACAAAAAATACACAAAATACACAAAATACAAAAAAAATGGCTCTGATATCTATTTAAATGTTTAAGTGCTTACAAAAAATACACACAAATACAAAAAATACACAAAAATACAAAAAATAAAGTCCTAATATTTGTATCTAATTCTCATCTCTAACCCCCAATTACTCAAGATTCAAAAATTAGTATTTAAATATATATCAAAATGTCATATGTACCATCAATATATATATATAAACATATGAATAAAACTATCCAAAAATAGTTTTTAAAAAGTACACATATAAACTATGTTTACATGCCTGTAAGTTCTCATTTATATTATGTTAAAGAGAAAAAAGAAATAGGACAAAATATTAAATGTACATTAAAATGTACAGGACAGACCAGAAGAGAAAAACTGGACAGAATCAGACTCTGTAAAGCCAAAAGTGGCAAGCTATGACTCCAAGGAAGAGCATTTAAAAAAACAAAACTTTTTAACTATTTTTTTTAATTTTTATTAAATCATAGCTGTGTATATTAATGTAATCATAGGGTACAATGTGCTGGTTTTATATACAATTTGGAATATTTTCATCAAACTGGTTAACATAGCCTTTACTGCATTTTCTTACTTGTGTTTAGACATCTATATTTTACACGTAGTAAATTTCACATGTACCCTTATAAGATGCACTGTACATGTGGTCCCACCAATTGCTCTCCCTCCACCTATCCTCCCCCTCCCCTCCCTCTTCCCCTTCTTCTTGGGCTACATAATTGGGTTATAAGGTTCATGAGAAAGCTGTAAATTGGTTTCATAGTAGGGCTGAGTACATTGGATAGTTTTTCTTCCATTCTTGAGATACTTTGCTAAGAAGAATATGTTCCAGCTCCATCCATGTAAACATGTAAGAGATAAAGTTTTCATCTTTCTTTAAGGCTGCATAATATTCCATGGTGTACATATACCACAATTTATTAATCTATTCATGGGTCAATGGGCACTTGGACTTCTTCCATAACTTAGCTATTATGAATTGGGCTGCAATAAACATTCTGGTACAAATATGTTTATAAAAAAACAAATTACAGGTACAGAGCCTATCGACTAGAGGATGGGAGACCCCTTCCCCAAGTGGGAGGCCCACTGTGGACTCTCTGCCAGTGAACAGGGAACAAAAGGCACCTCACTGGAAAGAGCTGCTAAACATTGATCTCTTTCTCCAGGGAGGTCTTCACTTATGCACCTAGACACCACCCTGCCAGGCATAACATTGACCATCTAGTAATATATTAGAGATGGAAATATTTTATAAAGTAAAGGTGCCTATATATTTTTCCCCCACAATTCTCAACTCCTAGTCCACCCTTCTCCCTTTGCATGGCAGTCTGAAGTTCTGTCCCCTGAAGAGCACAGAGTGTTTGGTCTTTTCCTGAGAGATCTGGGCATAGTATGGACTGCTGAACATCAGGACAGAATCTGTGACTACTGGGGAAGAAAGAGGTCTTGGGAAGAAAGGGACCCCTGGTGGGAGGAGGAGCAGTCCTCTGGTTATGACTTTGCCCAGTCAGTGGTGGTGTTGACCCTCAGTTTGGGCTGTGGTGGGAAGGGGTGCAGAACCCCTGGCTCTGATGGTGCCTACAAGCGGGAGAGTGATTGCTTGTTGTGGACTGAGTTCAGTGGGTGAGCAGATGCTTGCCAGGTGTGGACTGAGACCTGAGGGTGGGGGCATGGCCCCCTGACTCCATCTGGGCTGGGTAGCAGATCCTTGCTGGGTGTGGACTGAGACCTGACTCCAGCAGGGCTGGTGAGCAGAGGATTGCTAGGTGTGGACTGAGAATGGTGAGCAGGGGCATAGTCCCTGGCTCCAACTGGGCAGGCAAACAGAGACGTGGACATCAGTATGGACCTAATCTGGCAGGAGGGGGCATGGATCCCTGGCTCCAATTGTGCTGTTGACCCTTGGATCCCTCTCTGCTGAGCAGGGTTTGTACTGCTTGAGACAAATTGATTGGAACTCATGTCTGGGGCTGTCCATCCTGGGACACTCTGAGGTTGACCTTCGAAGTTCTGTAGTGGAAAAGACCTGAAGGGTGGGGGCAGGGCACCACAGCTGTCTGTATCTCTCCATAGATGAGATTTAAACCTAATACCATGGCTTCTTACAATAGGGTAGAGGTTGGCTGAAAACAGAGCTAGCTTGTGCTTTCTCACCAAGTAGGTCCTCAGAGTCTCCAGCCAATATTCTGAAAGGGGGCATTGTAAGGTTGTAGGGAATAAGCCACAATTACAAAGCCTAGTACTTTGGTAAGGGGCTGATTATCTCTACTACATGGGAACCCCAATTCAATCTCACCCTACCAGTTCTAATAACCAAACGGTGGAAAATAAATATGGTGCGGACCCAACAGAAGAACTCTGGCATCATGAATAACCAGAGCAGATCATGCCTCCAAGGAATGACAAAGGAGATACAACAGAAGATGTCATGTACAGACAAATAGCTAAAATGTCAGAAACTGAGTTCAGAATATGGATGGCAAATAAGATGAATAGAATGGAAGAAAAGTTAGAAATTGAAATCCAAAGAGTAGTTCTAACGTTATCTCAAGAAATTAATGATTTCAAAGACAAGGTCACCAAAGATATGGACATAATGAGAAAAGAGATAGCAGAGTTTAAGGCAATGAAAAAGTTATTTGAGGAGCTCTGACATATAGTAGAATCCCCCAGTAAAAGAGTTGACCAGGCAGAAGAAAGGATCACTGAAATTTAAGACAAAGTTTTTGAACATTCCCAAATGCTCAAAGAGGCAGACAAATGGAGAGCAAAAACTGATCACTCCCTGAGAGAGTTGTAGGATCACTCCAAAAGATCAAACATTCATCTTATAAGAATTCCTGAAGGAGAAGAGGATGGCCTTAAAGGTACAGATGCTCTACTCCAAGAGATTATGGAGAATTTCCCAAACATGGCCAGAGATACAGAAATCCAGATAGTAGAGAGTTTCAGAACCTCAGCAAGACTCAACTCAAACAAAGCATCTCCTAGACACACTGTGATCTACTTTGCCAAAGTTAAGAAGAAAATTCTACAAGCAGCCAGATGTAAGAAAAGCATCACCTACAAAGGGAGAAATATCAGAATAACTGCAGATCTCTCAACCAAAACGTTTCAAGCCAGAAGATGATCACTGATCTTCCATCTCCTAAAACAAAACAACTTCCAGACTAGGAACCCTTATCCAGCTAAACCGAGTGTCATTTGTGAAGTAGAAATCAAATACTTTAATGACATACACATATTGAAGAAATTTGCTATAACTAAACCAGCTGCTTATGATATTCTTAGACCCATCCTCCACAATGACCAGCACAATGCTCTACCACCAAAGTTAACTCACTCAGAAATTTGTGAACAAATCCAACTTCCACAGTGGTGAAAGGATTAAAAATGTCCACTGGACATTCGAAAAACATGACACCCACAACACCACCAGGTTTATCAATTCTCTCAATTAATGTGAATGGTTTAAATTGTACTCCAAAGAGGCATAGGTTGGCTGACTGGATACATAAACTCAGATCAGATATCTGCTGCATACAAGAATCTTATTTTACCTGAAAGGATAAAAATAGACTCAGAATATATTATAGATGGGCATCTATAGTACAGGCAAATGGAAATCAGAAAAAATCAGGGGTTGCAATTTTAGTAACAAATACAATTGGCTTTAAACCAGGGGTCCTCAAACTTTTTAAACAGGGGGCCAGTTTAC